TAACAATAACATGGTACGTATTTTAGATCTCGTAGCTTTTAGATTTTTCACCCAGAGCTGAAAACTTTAGAATGAGATATCCTTAATCACGATCGCTTAATCTGATTATCCAATGTACAAACTTTTGATTTTCTTCTTATAATCCTCTCTTTGGATATTTTTACTGTATAAAAGTTACGTTTGATAAGAATTAAAGATACAATGCTATATCGATTGGACTAATATACGATTGAATTAAAGTCAGCTGTTCACAAGCGGCTTTTGAGCATTTATACAAACATAAATTTAATCATGTTAATATGAAATTATTAAAAAACATATTTTAGGACTATTTTCATTTTGAACGTTAGTCTTAATAAACATTAATCCAAAACTTACGTTCGTTCAATCGATGTTTAGTTCAATTGATATGACACCATCAACACCAAAAATCAAAACCGATTTTTTAAAAGTTAAAGAGTACATCTTAACATGACACGCTGATTGGTTAAATTTTTAACTTCTTTCTTGGATATCGAATGTGTTTTTGAAAAATCTCGGGTTTAGTAAAACCAGGAGTTTAAGCATTAATCTTGATATCCATCATTCTAAAGTTTTCAGCGCTCTAAGAGAAAACAAGTTTATCCAGTTACATATAAAAAATAACAATATTTCTATTCTTCTCAATAGTTCTCTAATGAGAGAAGTTATGATTTCAATCATTCGTATAACTTATTTTAGTTTGACATAAACAGAGCTGGGAACTTTAGAATGGGATACCTTTAATCCCAACTGCTTAATCATCCAATGTGGACATTTTTAATTTCTTGCTTTATCCACTCTTTTTTTGGATATAGTACAGAAAAATTTAAAACCGATTTTTCAAAATTAGAGAATCCCTCCCGTTTCTGTAAATTAATCTTAAATGCCGCGCTAAATTTAAATTTCCCAGCTTCTGATACGCTACTCTGATTGGTTAAATTTTATACACTTTTCAGGGATACAAGTACGTACAAGATTAGGTTAGTCTCGAGATAAAGAAAAAGAGAGGATCAAGCATTGATCTCGAAATCAATCATTCTAAAGTTCCCAGCTCAGACAAATGAATGAAAAGTCAAAACCCCAAGATAGTGGAATAAACCATGCAAAACTAAATAGAGCCAGGTATTCCCAGGCAGTATTGGAATAAATATATTTTAAATAAAGCTCCATGTTTTAAAAGTTGACTCCCAGCTTCTTCTTTACTTTCTCTGTAGAAAGAACAATATAGCACTGTACACTGTAATCCAATATATTTATATTTTACAATAATACAGACAAGATACTTACTGACTGAAAAACCTGACTTAACATTCTAGACAAAACATGAACTTATCTTTAAACAAGGGAAAAGGGGAAATCATTAGGAATATTTATGTTACCAAATTCTTTAGTCTGGGAATAAAAAAAAATTGTAAAAAATAGAAATAAAATCAACAAAAAATATTTTCCGTTTAAGACTTTGATACAGATTTCTTAATTTAATCTGATATTCAGAGGGAGAAAAAGGAATTTTGTTAAATATTTAAAATATTCAATATTTGTTTATATACGGCCATGTTATTATTTTACATATTCGCTTCTAGAATATTTCCAGACCGTGGTGTTTGCACTGGAAATCCAGGAAAACAAGGAATTCAAATTCAATAGATAAACCTTGCTCATCGGAGAACAAACTCTAACTCCAATTTTCTAATTCACATATCTTTGCAACCTGGCTGTGTAAAGTTTGTGAAGAAAAAACTCAGTTTCTTTAAATAGTTGTTGACCCATTTGAAAAATATACAGAGATGTTTTTGAGAAATTTAATACTTGATACTTTCTGGGAAATAATCATTTAAATCCGGGTTTTTATTTTGCGTTTTTTTTCGATACCTTTCGTAGATTGGACCAATAAACAAATAAATAAAGTTCAAAGTCAGATTTTAAAAAATGACCAAAATTATAATATCTTCAATTGTTGATTAAAATCCACCCCGTTTCAATGTATTTTGATTTCTCCATCTTTGTCCTTCGACGGCGTAAATTGGAGAATTGATGAAAATGAAAAGTTCGTTCACTCTAAAATATTTGTTTATTTAAATATTCTTTGTAAATAAATGCTGTACAGAATATAATATTTGAGTTTATTAATTCATTCATTCATTTCTTCATCCGTCCTTTTAAATTCGTATTTATAAACTGGTCTTCTACCCTGTTTTATTCATCAATAATTTAGTTTTCCATTCATCTAAAATTTCATTCCACCGTCCCTATTAATTATTCAGAAGTTTTGATATTCATACTTCATATTTGTAAATATATGTATTCAAATTTAAAATAGAAAATCTGGGAAAACATATTCATCTATTTAATCAACTCTAATCATAAATAAAAACAACTTGAAATGTAATATCTACAAAAAAGATCAAAATTAAATAAGTCGATTTTGTAATTATATTTTTTATGCGTAATTATGTTTTTGTTTTGATGGATCTTTTAAACTTGCATGATAATTATTGTTTATAAAATTGTAAAGTAAACTGAACCCGGATCTTTTGAAATAGTAAAAGTTAAGCTAAATCTTTGAACCAATATTTGATATCTTAAATATTTAAGTCACCGAAATCGACGAAGTAAGATATTCAAACACGGGAAAATCTCGCAGTAACTATCAATCAATCAATCATGATTCTCTGGAAAATGTTGCGGCGCTTGAGCACTCATATATTTCATTTTATGGTGTGAAATATGAGTCTTGGATTGAATTTGTTTTAAAAGTTTAATTTTTGAGCATAATATTAAACGCTTACCGTACACCATCAGGTTCTTCTGGTTGAAATCTTCATCCAAAAAGCTTGAAACCTAAAAGACAGACAATCTTAATAATTTCCGTGCCTCCATGGAATGGATTCTTTGCCCCAAACTTAAATTTTGAATTACTTTATGTTTGCATGATTACAACCTGACGGCGATATTTCAAACTTAGATTATTTTATCTAACAGAATTCAGAGTTTGAAATATTAAAGGTTTACGACATTGCTAAGAAATAGGGATTTTAAAATCGGAATTTGAGGCAAAGAAACAATTTCTTTGCTTGCATGGCATGCTTAAAATAATTCTACAAACGACTGAATCGAAAGTATGAATTCATCCACCAATAAGGAATAATGTAGCAAATGTTCCTTCAAGTCTTTTCCTCCCTCGACAATTTTCCTACTGACTCAAAATATCTCTATAAAAAGATGGTTCTCAAACTCTTAAACTATCATTAGTTTTCCATGTTTTCCATGTTGTTATTTCGTTTTTTCTTTTCAACTTTCCGTTCTTATCCTTGCCCATGAATATGAAAAGCTCTCCAGTCAAGAGAATAAACTTTCAAGAAAGTTTTTCAATAAAAGATTCCTTAACTATCTACTATCTATCTACTATCTACTATATATCTACAATCTACTATCTATCTACTATCTACTATCTATCTACTATCTACTATATATCTACTATCTACTATCTATCTACTATCTACTATCTATCTACTATCTATCTACTATCTACTATCTACTATCTACTATATACTATCTACTATTATCCACTATCTACTATCTATCGAACTTGTAGCACAGTTTTATGAGAAATGTTAGAATAGAATTAAAACGAAAATGAAAAATCCGTGAAATTTTGTGCTTTTAAATTACGACGGAAAAAATAGTGCATTGGAAAGCAAGATTTAAACGCTAAAAGGAATTGAGTCTTTGCAACAAATCCCAATTTTCTAATAACTATATATCTACAACCAAATAATGTAAACCTTAGATATTTCAAACTTTAATTATTTGATATAACAGAAGTCAAAGTTTGAAATATCTAAGGGTCTACAACATTGGGTTGTTTAGATATAGGGATTTAAAAACCACCAGAGTTTGTGGCAATGACTCAATTCCTTTGTACTAGAAAAGTAAAGAATCTTGAAATCCCAGTATTTATATAAAAGTATATATTATTAAAATCTATTTTTTTTGTAAAATTGAAAACCCTCCATATTAAATTTCGTTTTTCGAAAACCATAGTCTTAAAATTTGATGAAAGGTTTCATTGTTTTTTTTTATATAATAATTTTTGGTTATTTGTCATCTGAAATGTTTATTATTAAATGTTTTATTTTGATCGAAGAAATGTAATCAAATCTTCATCTTCAGCTTAATGTAATAATGTTTTGAACATGATATCCACAAATAAAAATTTAATTAAAACCTACTTAAAGGGAGTGTTCGCGATAATTAAAAGGGGGTATAGGCTTACGTCGAAAAATATTTGATGGTGATTGCTACTAATCTTACTTCTATCTGTTGCGTCTATAAGAAGAAAATTGTTAAAAACGACTCATACAGAAGAACGTAGCGTCCATACAAATTCAGAAAGTTTCAATATACTTAATGATATTTTTTATTTGTTTTATATACAATGCACTTAAAACGACGATTTTTTGTCCACTAGGTGTCTCTGCCACTTGGAACTTTGCCGAAACATCGAGAGCTGAGACACCTAGCGGCCAACTAATAGCCGTTTGAATGGTATATATATAAATATTTATAAATCAAATAAAGAATATTTTATGAAGCATCAACTATATACGAATGCGTTAGAAATAATCGATGATTATAGGTTGTAATGTCTCAATGATTTGTCTGGAAGTAATTTGATTTTTTTACGATCTTTAAGGTTCAGTATTGCAACTAGCTGAATTTGTATGGACGCTAAGTTCTTAGGTATGAGACGTTTTTAACAATTTATTTCCGGTTCTTAAAATTCATTTTCCTCCCAATTCAGTAAAAAACCTACACTATATAGTGTTCCTTTAAAGATTCCATTACGGATCTGAATCCAGGTCAACATTTTATGTTTCTTGATTTCAAACATCTCGGTCAGTTTCGCAATTTCATTCCAAATATGTTAAGAACTCGAGATATGGTGTTTGTGTGTTAAATTTATATTTTAGTTCCCGCCCTTATACCACTTTAGAAACCTTTGTGATTTTAGAAATGTTCACACTAAAATCAAGTTTAATTTCCTGGAGTTTTTGCCACAAAAAAAATCTATTTTTCTACAGCTTCTTGATATTTCAAACTTAGACTTTTTGATCTAACAGAATTCATAGTTTGAAATGTCAAAGGTCTATAACATCGGGTCGCAAAGATGGATTTAAAAATCAAAGTTGGTGGCAAAAACTCAACTTTTACTTTAGAAAAACTAACAAATCTTGCACATGTGAGAAATAATAACACACTTTACACATATTTGTATAATGTGAGAAACTAACCTTGCACATATATGAACCGGAGAGATGATGTGTAACATTAACCAGATGAAGAGCTCGATGTTTCTCATACTTTTCCCCATTCACGGTGTACAGTAGATCAAGGTACTCTGTAAACCTTAACATAGCAATTAATCGAAAACTTAAATCTATTAAATAGATAATTTAACAATTAAAAGCTATATTAATGAATGCATTTTATTATTCAGTATTTGATATTTGAATAAACCGATCTGAACTGAACTGTAATATTCTTATCCCTATATCTTTGTGACTTAGATCTAAGATAATTCATAGTTTGCAAAGATACAAGAATTAGAAATGTTGGAGGCTTGTTAAAAAATACATAATCATTCATCAGCAATTTAATCAACCAAAAAGTCCTGCCATCAAAAATTCTTTTAAAAAATAATTAACAAAAATAAAATAAAAAATGAAAACGTACAAAACTATAAATTCCAAAATACCTGGGATCTATAACCTGAGGTCCAGTATTCATGGCTGGTAACCATTGATAGATAGGGGTTGGAGAACTATTAAAATACCATTTAATATCCAGCTGATCCTTCTCCTCAGCTCTACAATATAAACTAGTTATTTCGAGGAGACACTATTTTTCAGAATACATTTTTCTACAACTTTTTATGGCACATATTATCTTATTTTTAATCAATTATTTCGTTTTGTTAGTTTATATTTTTCTTTATGTCCAAAAAGGTTTATGAGAATGTTTTTTGGAGAAACAATAAGAGATCGGAGTTAATGAATAGTCATACATTTTTAAACTGAAGTCAAAACTAATAAAGAAGTCCTAATTGTTGTTTAGCTTTGGTTTTTAAGAAATAATTAGCAAAATTCTCATCGATTTTTTCTTGAGCGCTTGAGACCATAAATCACAATGCACCATGTTCAAGTACTTTTATTTATCCGACATCATCGATACAACTGTGTGACCTAGTAGCTCCTCTACCTTTATTTTAGGCACAATAATATCTCGCTACATGTATTAGAATTTCAAAAATTCTTCAATCAAATGTGTTATCATAGAAACTTATACGCGCAAAGGAATTGAGTTTTTGCCACAAACTCTGATTTTCTAATTTCAATATCGTTGCAACCCAATGTCGTAGACCTTTATTATTTCAAACTATGAATGCTGTTAGATTAAATAATGTAAGTTTGAAGTATAAAAGGTTTACATCATCAGGTTGCAAAGATATAAGGATTACAAAAATTAAATTTGTGGCAAAGACTCAATTCCTTTCTTTAGTTTGACGTGTTGAATCTGACCTTATATTTGATAAATATTATTTTATTGTCTATTTCTTATAAATGTCTTATATGTCAAATTGTAGATGACAAAAAGAAGATCATAGAACAAAATAAAAAGCATATCAAAAAGATAACGAGAGTCTCAAATACTAAATTTAAGATTTCCTAGAGTTGCTGAATATGATCATACAAAAAACTATGAAGGAATATAGTTCTTTCCACAAGCTTTAATCCTTATATCTTTGAGACCTAATTACTGGAGATATTGCAACTATGAATTCTGCGAGATCAAATAATTTAAGTTCGAAATGTCAAAGGTTTACATCGTCAGGTTGCAAAGATATAGGGATTCGAAAATTTTAATTTGTGACAGAAACTCAATTCCTTTATAAGGATATTATATCTAGATTATAAGATATAAAAGAGATTAAACATGATATATAGAGATATAAAAATAAATAAATATGTTTTGAATTCTAATATGTGTAGTTCTCGTACTTTTGCGTAGAACCAAAATTAAAGGAGTTACAATGTCACAAACCCATATAATTAATGTCTCCTACTGTCTAGTTCAGTATGTATAGATAGATAGATAGATAGATTGTGATTATGATACAGAATAGATTAGAGATTATAGATAGAGATGTATGAGTTCAGATTTACAACTGAAGACAGGGGACCAAGTAAGATAGATTAGAAAGCCTCATTTATTTGTTTACAAAACAAGTGTACTGCATTTTCTGGGTGGAATACAAACAGAGACCTACAATATTTTTTTTATTGTAAACAATTTATTTTGAGGGATTCCCGATGTATTTTTCTTGAACCATGTCGATAGATAGAGAGATAGATAAATGGATGGTTACAGTTTATAGTTAGAGTGGGCAGTGTGATATTGCGAGGTATAGATAAGACGAGATAAACAGATAATTACGTGGTTCATAACATGGCCTTCCTTCTATATATATATATATATATCTTCTGAAAGTAAGTTCAGAACATTTTCTTGTGTTTATTTAATATAGTTAATATATAATATATATATGTATAAATATTTTTATATAAACTAGTATGCTAAGAAACTTGTGCCCAGCTCTTTTTTGGTAATTCATGTGTTAGCTGTTTTGTTACTTATATTATAACTTTTAGTTATACTATAACAATAAAGATTTCAAAGATTTTTGAATTTTTATTTGTAAATTTGTAAATTTTACATAAATAAATTTTTTGTTGTGATTTTTTCTGTATTAATGTAAGAAAACAGACCAAAATAAGGTCTGTACAGTCGTCTTTCATATCTCATCCTTTGGGAGTAACTCTGTGCGTGGGCAAAATGTTTTTAAATAAAAATTCTGCGTTTGATATAAAGCAGAAAATGGTTTTAATTGGACATCTGTGTTTCAGAAAGACGAGAAATTTGTGTTTAAAAAAAAAATTTTGTTTGTTTCTTATACACTATATACACTCTAGACTAAATATACTCAAGATAGTATAGATGATAAAAATCATAATAAAGATGTTACTACTTGCCATAAGATATAATTTTCTGAGCTTTATATCTTTTTAACGGTATTAGGTTTGCACCATCAGCTTGAAGATTTTAGCGATCTTTCCTTTCAAAATAAAATTACTAGTTGTTTATGAGAAATATTTTAAACTATATCAAATTTTAAAAATTGAATGTTGGAAAGCTGAAATTTTACAAAAAAAAACCGAAAAAATGTTGAAAACATTGTTTACTTTTTTATCCAAGTTTAAGATATAAATCTATATAAAGCGTAGTATTTTCTGTTTGTTTGATTGTTTGTTTGTCAGATCATGACTCGGAAACCCCTGGACCGATTTGTCTAAAATTTTGATTGGGGAACTCGGGAGACCCATAGGAATGTTCTTAGCTAGTTTTGAGATTCTAAGTTGAAAGCGAAAATTTAGTTACCCGGTAAAATCGTCCAAGTGCGGGTAAACGGCGGGAGAATCTTTTAGTAACCTAGGCAGTGCTGGGTTCCCAAGCTAGTATATACCTTCACTCTACACTCTATCTACAGGTCTACAGTCTACACTCTACCTACAGGTCTACAGTCTACACTCTACCTACAGGTCTACAGTCTACACTCTACACAGGTCTACAGTCTACACTCTACCTACAGGTCTACAGTATACACTCTACCTACAGGTCTACAGTCTACACTCTACCTACAGGTCTACAGTCTACACTCTACCTACAGGTCTACAGTCTACACTCTACCTACAGGTCTACAGTATACACTCTACCTACAGGACTACAGTCTACACTCTACCTACAGGTCTACAGTATACACTCTACCTACAGGTCTACAGTCTACACTCAACCTACAGGTCTACAGTCTACAACCCTTATACAATACGGTTTCTCCTTTATATCCGTACACACAGATTGACCATTATTCTAACCCTAGACTTTATATTGTTCAGATGTAAGTTAACTTTCCCCAGGGGAAATCACGACCAAATCAAAAGAAAAGTGGTTTGTTTTAAATCCATTGATTTAAACTTTTAGCTACAGTGATAACCAGAAAACTTTGGAATATAAAGTCGACTTTTAGACTCAAGTTTTGACTTAAAATAGTCCAAGGAACATTATACACAGCAGTTTTGCAATGTGATTTAATAACTTACTAGTAAAGCTTTTTGATTTGTAACACTATGCAATATCAAATGCACTTCAGTATTGCTTTTATGTCGTCTTCCTATTTTACATTTTTCTGGTTATCGCTGTAAAATTCGTGAGTTAGCATCTATCAAAGGAATTAACTACTTGCCTTTAACTCAAATTTTCTCAACCTTTAAGGTCTTGAACCTTTGATTAGTTTCCATTAAATCTGCTAGATGATGATATCAAAGGTCATCGGGTTGCAAAGATAAAAGGTTTGAAAATTTAGTACAGTTCTTTATCGCATTCTTAATTTAGAATAGCATACTTTAGTTTGCTGAGATAGATGTAGCATGGTACGGTACACCCTGTCCCTCTTGAATTTGCATTGTGTTAGAAAATTTTAAAATTGTAAAATTGTAACTGAATATTCTGACATGTTTAATCTTGTTATGGTTCCCTCTTATTTATCCTTCTCCTGGTGAACATAGAGTAGTCTCGTAGGTCCTATTCCATTCCATTCCTGGAGTACGCTAGACAATTTTATATAAATATGCCAGTGGGGAGGGGGGGGNGGGTTATTTTCCTCTTATTCTTTAACACTTTATAAAACGATAAACGATATAATTTCAACAAAATATTCATTTGGTGGATTACATTTTTATAATTTTTTTCACTTCATAAAGGAATTGAGTTTTTGCCACAAACTCTGAATTTCAAATCCCATATCTGTGTAAGCCAATGCCATTTGACCTTAGATATTTTAAACTATGAATTCTGTTAGATCAGACAATCTAAGTTTGAAATATCAGAGGCTTACACTATCAGGTTAGACAGATATAGGAATTAGTAAATTCGAGTTTGCGACAAAAGAATCAACTTACAAAAATTTGAGCGTAAAACTCAAACAGATCAAAATCTGTTAGAAGATGCATTTAGGCGACAATTATAAAGAAAAGATTTATATAGAAATAATTTATTAACTATATTGACTCGAAGCAACCAGAATCAGGCACAGATTAAGTTAATGGGTTCAAATCTTTCAAATAAAATTTTTTGTAAAGGTTTAGAATCACTCCTGTATGCCGAGTTCATTAGCGTCTGAACCAATCAGGGTTCAGTCATGTGTTTGTTGTCTATTATGAACCAATAGAAATTGCATGGCGGTAACATCTATCTTTCTATCTATCTATTATCCAATTAGAGATATGAATTCTTCAACCGGTGCTATCAATAAATGGAAATATTTACTTCTACTGAAACTATAGTGTCGAATTAACGCATGTATCTATTATAGAACTACTGTCAAGTGAACAATACAAGCTACTGTAGAATACTGTATTTAATACAAGGTTATAATGCAAGGAAAGTTATTTCAAAAGGTGTACGCATCCTTTGTACTGCAGTGTACTATCTCTGGGCGGTAATGTAAGCACAAGACTGATGTCACAGCCTGACATGGGATCCATCTTTCACATAAAAAATCAATGAAATATTCTGGTCATAGGAAACTATTATGTGAATTATCAAAATTATCAAAATTTAATGCTTTTTATCCTTCTCGGATACTAAACGAACACTGCTACATTTATTCTTGTTTACAAATTCCTCCCAGAAGAACTGGTTTCAATATGTACACAGAGTATACTTCAACTAACTTTCTTTGCATTAAAGCCTTGATTTCATATAACATAAAACGAGTTTATACTACGTTGGATTGTTCTTGTACTGCGTTGAGTACACGCAGTACACACAGTTCTGCAGTATGCAGATCAGGGGCTCCACAGTATCTAAACTCATCAATTATTCAAAATATCCAAGCTCCAGTTTGTTTTCCTAGCATGAAATATTGGCCCAATTTTAGTTCTATTTAATGCTTCATGAAATTCACAATTTTCTTCCAGAAATAGTCAATTTTGATGCAGTTGCAGTAATAGTTCAATTTTATTGATTTAAAAAATACTAACACGCAGGGAAAAAAATTACCCCCTTAAATCCGGTGTATTTGCTGATTTTTTAACATAATTCTTATTTTAAAACGTTAAAATAACAATTTCAGAATAAGGTTTTTAACCTTTAAATATCTAAAACTATCCATTTCAATTAAATCATTCATTGAGAACTAGATTATTTAGAACTGCAAGAAAATATTCAAATGCCTTATTCAAATTTGATTTATCTAATTGTACCATATTTGGCTTGTCTCACGTAAAATATAACTACAACAAAGTAGATCTGTCTGTATCGTAATATTCGATCAAAAATTCAAAACCCATCGAAAATGACGTAAAAACTTTTTATTAAACTTACTTATACAATATACATCTAATATAAGAAGTCTTCATTTAACAGGGAAAATGGGTTCCGAAAGGTAAAACGTCCACTTCTCCGGCTGAAATTTAATGTGTGGCAAGAATACCCCCCCCCCCCCGAACCCCTGCCTTTTACTCAGCAATCAGCATTCAAAAGTAGCTCCTTCAAAGTTCTCAACAATTTATTCATTAAAACATACATTTTGTAAATAAAAATTGTTATAATTATGGCAGAAAAAATGGTTGCTAAACGCTAAGGCGCTTCTTCAATATGATATCTCAATATATATACTTGTTTATAACTCTCTTGTAAGGCCTCACATTGAATATGGAATTGTTACTTGGGGAGGGGTTAAAAACTCTAAGCTGCAAAAAATCAGATCTTTGCAATAAAGGGAATCAGAGCGGTAAATAATAGTACTTTCAAGGCACATTCAAATCCATTATTTTCAAAACTGAAAGTTCTTAATCTTGATGATACATACAAACTTATAGTGTTCTGACATTTATGCATGGATACTTTAATGATAACCCTCCCTCTTCCTTCCAAAATATGTTTAAGTCTCTAGCAGAACCGAATAGAACAAAATCATATAAATTAGAACGGGTTTTAATCAAAAATTTAGAAAGCTTTCCGTCCGCAATAAATAAAAAATATTAAATTATGAAATATGATATAAAATAAGGTCGACTGCATGAAAGAACATTCTAGATCCGGCTGCAGTGCTGTCCAAGGTTTGTGTAAAAACGATTGGAAATGATGGATTTGTGGACTCCGACCACCCAACTGTTGGTATATCAAATCTGTAGAAAATATTTTAAATATGGATATCTACATATCCATATTTTTAGATCAATGCATGTACTATGTAGCAGGTTTCAAATGTTTCATAGTTTTTTATTATTCATGAACAGGGGGCAGATAAAAAATGCGCGTTTCAATATTTTTTCAATATAATTTTAGATTTTCTTTGTTAGAATCAGAACCTCATTTTTGTTAATTTAATTTGATTTCTACATATTTAACAATTTTTATTATTTTCGTCTTCCACCCTGTATTGAGATATATGGAAGAGATATCAATTCAAAACAGTTTTATTCAATAATATGTAAAATATACGAATAGAACTTTATAAGGTCAATTATACAGAGGAATAAAACAAAACAAAAACGAGAGTGGATTTTAAGATTTAACACAAATCTAAAAAATAATTATGATCTAGGCAATTTAGGGTGTCATTATTCAAAAATCTGCCTTTTAGAAGAAAATTTTTAATTTAATGTTTTCCAAAATTCCAACTTGTACTCGAATCTACAATATATTATGTACTAAACATGTCCGTGTACCTGTACTCGAATCTACAATATATTATGTACTAAACATGTACTGGTACCTGTACTTGAATCTTCAATATATTATGTACTAAACATGTTCGTGTACATGTACTCGAATCTACAGTATATTATGTACTAAACATGTCCGTGTACCTGTACTCGAATCTACAATATATTATGTACTAAACATGTCCGTGTACCTGTACTCAAATCTACAATATATTACTTACTAAACATGTACTGGAACCTGTACTCAAATCTTCAATATATTATGTACTAAATATGTCCGTGTACCTGTACTCGAATCTACAATATATTATGTACTAAATATGTCCGTGTACCTGTACTCGAATCTACAGTATATTATGTACTAAACATTTCCGTGTACCTGTACTCAAATCTACAATATATTATGTACTAAACATGTCCGTGTACCTGTACTCCAATCTACAATATATTATGTACTAAACATGTACGGGAACCTGTACTCAAATCTACAATATATTACTTACTAAACATGTACTGGAACCTGTACTCGAATCTTCAATATATTATTTACTAAATATGTCCGTGTACCTGTACTCGAATCTACAATCTAGAACCAGACTTTTTCCTGACTCTGCTACTTGTGGAATATCCATAGATATTATATCTACACTCTGCACACCTAAAATAACAAATGTATTATAAAACTGGGGTTTTAAAGACAAATTATGAATGCTCGGAAATCAATATTTTTTATCATTTTTGTACTGTAACTTGCAGTTCAAATTTGAACTTTTAAAATCAAAATTTTTAGAGGTAATTTTTCTTTTGTGTATTGAATAAGTACATGAATTTTAAGAATGCCATTTAATTTACTGTACATAAAAAATATTTTTATTTCAAATGTAATCAATTATTTTAATCAAACTAGACAATCAACGATTTGTGATTTATTTATTTCCCCTAATTTTAAACATTTAAACTCATCGCTGAACAGATAAATAGTTTTGCAGATTTCTTTTAATGTTGATTTCCAGAATTACGAATAAAGGTTTGTGAAGTTTAAAAGTATAATTCCTTCCTTGGAAAAATACCGGAAATAGTTCTATACATATGTCAGAATATTGAGAAATGCAGTGCACTCTGCAAAAACCAATTCTAAACCACATTATTAACACAGATTTGGAATCTGATGGGTGTAATCTTACTTATTTATATAGACTTATTTCATTCCATCGGATGTTCATGAAATAATAATTTGAAATATAATAAATATGTGTAGAAACATCAATAAATGATTTTAAGGTTATTTCTGATATTGCGAACAAATTATTTCTATAAAAATCCATTTCACTATATTTCTATTTCAAATCACTATATCTTTGCAACCTGATGGTGCAAACTTTTATATTTCAAACTTAAGTTGCAAAAATTAGATTAGAAAAATTAGAAATTGGAGCTAGGATCAGAATTAGCATCCGAATGAAAAAAACAACAGCACGGGATTCTTAATAATAAAATTTTTAATTTTTCTCACATTATATAAACTTTGTTTAAAATTATCAAGTTGACAAAATAAAATAAATTTGAAAAAGGTTTATAATGTCTGTAAAATTGAGTCTATAGGATTAGAATTAGAATCCGAATGAACTAAAACTCAGTTTTTTTATGAATGATTTTTCTCATAGAATGTAAAACTTCATAAATATTGTATATCAGGGCAGAGTAACATATATTGTATATCAGGGCAGAGTAACATCAAACACAAATTGTTTGGAAAATTGTTCGATGAACTAGGTTAAATTTTTCTAGATTCTTTTTCATAAATGCACATAGTACAGAGAGAACTAGAAAACGATGGAATGAATGTCAATTTATATTGTCTGTTTTATTATACTAAGGATGCCCTTATATTTTTCTTTCATTAAACAAACCATTAAAAGACTATATTCAAGGTAGAAAGCTCAATTAAACCTTGGATTCGTCATATTTTAAGCGTTTTAGGTCGTCTTTATATTCTCGTTCTTTGTGGCTAACCCTGCAGCTCTGTTTCTATGTAAACTTCATAGTCTTTAGAATTTTTTATTATTTTATTTTACTCTTTGACCACTACATTCTAATTATTATAAAATATTTCATTTTTAAATTGAAAAAAACGTTATCAAAGGAATTTAAATCTTTTTGCATGATTGTATAGTGTTTACCAGGAGAATGTATAGTGTTTACCAGGGGAATTACAAAACTCTGTATTTAGTTGAGGAGGTATATAAAGTGCAATAAATTAACGGGATATAATTAAACAAATCTGTGCACTGGAAGCAAGGGGGGTATAAAGCATAATAACAAATCTGTGAACAGGAAGCAAGGGGGGTATAATGCTGCATAATAACAAATCTGTGCACAGGAAGCAAGGGGAGTATAATGCTGCATAATAACAAATCTAAAATATATATATGAGCAAGGAGAGCTTGATTTTAAATATGTGTTATAGATATGAAAAAGCTTTTCCTCTTTTTCTCATATATTTATTTTTAAAAGACATTTCTGAAAGTTTAAATATAGATTCGATCAATTTATTTTAAGATAAAATCTATTAAAATCTATATCAGCTTTATGCGACCATTTTGAATTGATATATCTTAAACCAATCAGGAACGAAGTTTTTAGGATGTTATTTATCATTTTTCCTGTATTTAAGGTTTAAATTAAACTTTTTAATCCCTCCAAAAAATTACAAGTATCAAAAACAGAAAATGGTGCGTTATGGAAACACTCTTACTCAAGCAGAAAATCAGCTTTTTATTTGATTTTTCATTGTTTTTCATTCGATCTAGGACTCACTGAGTAGATTAATAATTTATTTATGTATAATTTATATGTTTATTGTTCTGCTCTAATGCACAGAACGACTGTTGAATGCATAATGGGAGTTTAATTGGATTGCACTAAATGGATTAATTTCTTTTAAACAATTTAGGCTTAAAGGGACTGGACCTCAGATTCAGTTACAGCTAGGGTCAGTGCAACAATTAAAGGGACTGGACGTCAGATTTAGTTACAGCTAGGGTCAGTGCAACAATTAAAGGGACTGGACGTCAGATTTAGTTACAGCTAGGGTCAGTGCAACAATTAAAGGGACTGGACGTCAGATTTAGTTACAGCTAGGGTCAGTGCAACAATTAAAGGAACTGGACGTCAGATTTAGTTACAGCTAGGGTCAGTGCAACAATTAAAGGGACTGAACGTCAGATTTAGTTACAGCTAGGGTCAGTGCAACAATTAAAGGGACTGGACGTCAGATTTAGTTACAGCTAGGGTCAGTGCAACAATTAAAGGGACTGGACCTCAGATTTGGTTACAACGAGGGTCAGTGCACGATTAAAGGGACTGAACGTCATTTAGTTACAGCTAGGGTCAGTGCAACAATTAAAGGGACTGGACGTCAGATTTAGTTACAGCTAGGGTCAGTGCAACAATTAAAGGGACTGGACCTCAGATTTGGTTACAACGAGGGTCAGTGCACGATTAAAGGGACTGAACGTCAGATTTAGTTACAACGAGGGTTAGTGCAACAATTAAAGGGACTGGGCGTCAGATTTAGTCACAACTAGGGTCAGTGCAACAATTAAAGGGACTGAACGCAGATTTAGTTACAACTAGGGTCAGTGCAACAATTAAAGGATCATTAAAACACTTTTAAAAATGTACAAAAATACAACATTTTTAGATTTTGCATAAAAATATGAGATCGTACTTAAAGAGACTTACAGACTTAGCACTTACAGATATGCATATATAGGCGTAAACACGATAAGAGTCAAAAAAAATAAAGAAAAAAAATAGTAAAAACACGATAAGAGTAAAAAAAAGTAAGAAAAAAAATAGTTTTCCATTTCAAACTTGTTTGATTGCACATTAATATGTCAAACCTTTTTTTGTCAATAAATTTTATTTTGTTTGAAAACATGTTTGAAAGTGATAGGATTTATTTTTAATGTTACAGAAGTGCTGCCGCATTAGGAACTAGCTATATCTGCAACTTTTATGCTTTAAAAATCATAAATAATAAATAATTCCATCTTAAATTTCAGGAATGCAAGGAGATGGAAAAACATATTTTGAAACTGATCTATTTATAAATATGCAGCTAGCAGCTAGATAACTTTACCTTTTTGTGGGACTTTGGTCAAAACAGTTTCGCGGTTGGACAAGCTTGAAATAAATATCCCCCCCCTTCAGGTTGAAATACCCCCCCCCCTTCAGGTTGAAATATATACCTCCCTCCCACTTCTTCCTACCTCTCACATCACATTTCATGGCAATGTGAATATTCAAAATTAAAACACGAGTTCTCAGGTTTAGGAATAATTGAACCATTTATCAAAATCAGAATAATTTGCAAGAAAAAATTATCTTTTGTATTTTTCAACCTATGATAACTTCCAACAGTAAGATCAATAAAATGTTGAATAAGAAAACAAAATTTAAGTAATCTCATGTGAATTTGATGTTGTGTAAAATTTGCTTGAAAATCAACTGATTATGTGAAATAGGTCTGTGTACACTGCACAATGGCTGTGTTTCATGTTCATCTAAAATCATAACTTGAGTCTTACAGTCGTCTTCCTATTCGCCACTAACGAACTATTTGGATGAAGTTTTGTAAGATTTAATCCTTTTTGAACAATACTTTTAGAGAATCCCACTATACATGGATAAAATAACGGTAGCAAACCAAAATATACTATTTGTGGAGCATTCTTTAGATAAAGATTTCAAGGGTTTGAAGAGCATTCTTTAGATAGAGATGCCATGTAATTGAAAAAAAAACAAGTTTCAGATAAAAAACAGATAAAAATGTGTACCGCATTTTTACATAGACAATTAGATTTAAAGGAAACCTTTGTAAACTAAAAATGAAGGGTCAGTTAAATTTCATCGAAATTCACTTTAAAATGATTTTTTATATTTAAAAGGGGTAGTTACGAGAAACAATACTTTTATATTGGTATGTTTCATATTATTGCAGCTTGATAAAATCAATTTTGATACTTGTTTTAGTAACATACCTAGTGCTAGAGCCACTGTAGAGAAGACTAGATTATTAGGAAACATTATTATTAACTTGAATTTACATAATATCTTAGGTTTACACTTCAACTTCTAAACATACACCGCATAGTGACGTTAAAGCTAGTAAGGGATCTTTACAACTGATGAGTATTGTATTCCCGGTCCCCCGCAAACGATCTTCCGGAGTCAACAGTCGGTTCGGTCCGGAGTTTTTTGTGGATTTGAAGTCGAGACAGTACAGCAGATTTCCCGCATTCCTGCGTCAACAAGCTGCTGAACACGAATGGTAAACAAAACATTAGACAACACATTAAACAAGCAAAAGTCGGGTCGGTACGCACTATTTTCTTTAAAAATGCTGGACATCATTTAACTTCTTATTATCCTACGATAAAAAGTATAATTAACACAACAAATACCAAACGGCTGCCGTGTTCACAAATTTTGCAATATAATTTCTAATTATATTATTCTATAAGCTGAATGTTCTGTAAGTAAAAGATATGATTTGTTAGATTTTGAAACATCAGAGATATTAAAGTCCACAGTCCACCAAGAATTAAATGTTAATCATGATTAATGACAATCAAAATATAAAACTTTCAACATCTCTGATTTCATGATGAAAATAGAAAATATCAAAATAGGACAATACAGACAATACAGATAGTACAGACAGTACATTTTTAGTAAATATCTACAGGATGAAATTAAATTATTTTAAAAATTTTTGTTCTTAGGGAAAAACTGTTTTTTGGTAATAATAAATCAAATATCTTTCCAAAATCAATTTTCTGCTTTTGTTAAATTCTCAAGGGATTTTTACAAAAAAAAATTTCGGAATTCAGTGTTTCAAGATTTATTTTGACTTTTTTTTCTCTCTTTCGTCAGTTTATCGGAAAATTTGGCGAATTAAAATAAAAATCATAAAAAATTCAAATTATTTTTATAATATATCTTAGAAAGCTTTAGAATATGGTGCAATGTGGATTCAAGCATTTATATAAAAAAGTGCCAAATAGTTTCACTCTTACATTACATTACTCCAGGTGCGGATATAGGGGGGGGGGGGGGCAAAGAGACGAAGACCCCCCTTAGAAAAAAGGGGCCGTCAAGAGTTTTTTTGACACCCCCCCCTTTCTGGAGACCAAAGCTTATGGTAGATTTTAAGTTTTAACCAACGCTGTAAGTAAATGAATATGATTCTTTCCTATCTTAAAAATTGAGTTTATCATGATTTCAGCATTGAAACAAAGGAATTGAGTCTTTGTCACAAACTCTGATTTTCGTAGATATTAGATATTTCAAATGATGAACCCTGTTACATTAAATATTCAAAGTTTGAAATATCAAACATTTACATTATCAGGTTGCAAGGATATAGGGATACAAAAACTTATGTTTGTTACAAAGACTCAATTCCTTATAGTTTTTAGTAAATTACAGAGAATTCAAATCGATCGCGATATAAGGGGTGTGAACACTTTTCATGAATTTTACTAAAGCAAAATTGTATTCTACTTGGAATTCTTATTGGCATGTTTTGAAAATAAAATGTTACAAAAATCAGAAATCACTCCCTGAAATGAGTTGTAATGATAAAAAACTGATAAAATGATGTAAAATAAGAAAACTATATAATAAAAAAGAAAATTTGAATTTTATCAGATATTCAATACATCCCGTCAGGACATTTGGAGGAAAATGTACGCTAGATTGTGACGTGTGTTAATCAACTACACTGATCATTGTTCTTAGTTGCAGTACGTGGAAAAGGGATATGAAAATAAACCAAAATTTCGTGGAGGGGGGGGGGGCGGGGGATTTTATTCATGGACTATTTGGGTTATAAAAAGAATTGTAACTTTTTCTTCACCTTAATCACACATGATATAATGGTAAATGAAGACAACTTCTCCTAAATATACAGTGCTCCCCAAAATAAAATAATAAGCATTGGCGACTTTTCAAAATATTCAGTGCTTCCCAAAATGATATGGAAAATGAAGACGACTTCTTATAAATATACAGTGCTCCCAAAAAAAAATATGGTAGGAATAGGGTTGTTTTCCCGAATTTAAATCAAATTACAGAATATTGAAATATTGCAAATGGACCGATTTAAAGCATAAAAACACATTTTTTGGGTACTTAAATAATCGCCCAGTTTTTTAATACTATTGAACTCTTTGAATTTTTTGAACTCCACTTTTCACGCAGAATTTATTGCTACCCATTTCAATATACTTCTAAAATTATGATTTTTCACTTATACTATAGTGATTTTTTTTTACATTTTTATCTTTAAACCCAACTGATGGAGCCACTTTTTGTAAAAAATGCATTTTAATATTATTCAATAACAGTCCAAGAAGAATACAATTTTGCTTCTGTAAAATGATTTCTGAAAACATTTCGCAAAATTATACACCCCTAAATGATAGTATTTTTTCTTTCTTCTAAATTAAGATATCCTAGACCTAATTTACTTGCTTTCCTTTTTTATGTAAATATTTTTATCCTTGAGATGCCTGAAGAAAAAATTTGAAAATACCGTTCTAAGGCATGTCAATACTTTTACATATTTCAACAGTAATTTGCTATTTTGAGCACTTAAAATACTCACAAAACAATTCCTCAACAAAAATTGGGGGAAGCTCCGCCCCCCTGCACATTTTTATTGGGAGTTTGACCCCCCCCCCTTTCAAAAAGCTGGATTCTCCCCTGGATTACTGCACTATTTCAGATTTTAACTGAATCCCAATTCATGTATTTCCGTAAATGTCAGAAATTATTGATTTATTTAATTATCTTTCATAAATCAGAGTTTTGACAAGATTTCGCCTTCGGTGGTTTATTCACTGAATAAAACACGATATATTCTCGTATACTAGATAGATAGATAGATAGATAGATAGATAGATAGATAGATAAATAGATAGATAGATAGATAGATAGATAGATAGATAGATAGATAGATAGATAGATAGATAGATAGATAGATAGATAGATAGATAGATAGATAGATAGATAGATAGATAGATAGATAGATAGATAGATAGATAGATAGATAGATAGATAGATAGATAGATAGATAGATAGATAGATAGATAGATAGATAGATAGATAGATAGATAGATAGATAGATAGATAGATAGATAGATAGATAGATAGATAGATAGATAGATAGATAGATAGATAGATAGATAGATAGATAGATAGATAGATAGATAGATAGATAGATAGATAGATAGATAGATAGATAGATAGATAGATAGATAGATAGATAGATAGATAGATAGATAGATAGATAGATAGATAGATAGATAGATAGATAGATAGATAGATAGNTCATGGTCCAGGATATATTTACTAATCATGGTCCAGGATATATTTACTAATGATGGTCCAGGATATATTTACTAATCATGGTCCAGGGTAGACTTACTCAAGGAATCCAGGATATATTTACTAATGGTGGTCGAGGATATATTTACTAATGGTGGTCCAGGATATATTAACTAATGATGGTCCAGGATATATATACTAATGGTGGTCCAGGATATATTTACTAATGATGGTCCAGGATATATATACTAATGATGGTCCAGGATATATTTACTAATGATGGTCCAGGATATATTTACTAATGATGGTCCAGGATATATTTACTAATGATGGTCCAGGATATATATCCTTGTGGTGGTCCAGGATATATATCCTTATGGTGGTCCAGGGTATACTTACTCAAGGAATCCAGAATATATTTACTAATGATGGTTTATTTACACGTGTTTATTTTGTGATGTGATCCCCCTTGCACATGAATCTGATAACATGTGTTTTTTCTTGGATCTGAACCCATGAACACGAATCTGATAACACGTGTAAAGAACCCTGAAACAGAAGTTAAATTACATGTGTTTTTAAAGATCTGCAATCCTTGAACATAAGTAGTTATACACGTGTTTATTCTTGAATCTGAACCCTGGAACATGAATCTAATTACACGTGTGACGTGTTTATTCTGGGATCTGAACCCTTGAACACTAGTCTAATTTCACGTGTTTATTCTTGAATCTGAACCCTGAGACACAAGTCTAATTTCACGTGTTTATTCTTGGATCTTAACCCTGGAACAAGAGTCTAATTACTCGTGTTTATTCTGGGATCTGAACCCTTGAACATGAGTCTAATTTCACGTGTTTATTCTGGGATCTTAACCCTGGAACACGAGTCTATTTACTCGTGTTTATTCTGGGATCTGAACCCTTGAACACGAGTCTAATTTTACGTGTTTATTCTTGGATCTTAACCCTGGAACACGAGTCTAATTACACGTGTTTATTCTGGGATCTGAACCCTTGAACACGAGTCTAATTTCACGTGTTTATTCTTAGATCTTAACCATTGAACACACGTCTAATTACACGTGTTTATTCTTGGATCTTATATCCATTGAACACAAGTCTAATAAGCTCCCAGTGAGTTGTAAGGTTACCCTGTTGGTAGTTTATTACTATCCAACCCATACATCAGATAATACAATAACAATCTGACATCAAAACTAAATTACATTTTAACAATTCAAAACTTGGACATTTAGAAATGTTTCATATAATATCTGCATCATGTCATTTGTCATTTAAATGTAGGGTAAGTTAGGATGCAACTTTTAATGTTAAAAATATTCGATTTATTTCAGGAGACTGAAGATATTATTTCAAGTGACATTCCTTAGAATTATTATTAGAAATATCCACAAGCGCAAAAGAAGGATTGATGGAAATAAAATTTTGAAGTTTAAAAACAAAGACATTATTGCAAACGCAATAACAAAACATGATTATATCCCCCTCTAACTCCCCGCCCCCCCCCTAAACTCAACTCCTTTCTTAAAATAGCACACTATTTTGCATCCCTGAAAAACAAGTTGACTGATGGGAGATAAATTGCAACTTCCCTAATCCTTTAATATTCGCCCTTGCCAAACCTTGCCCTGCATAATACCATAATACCATAATACCAGTGCAATTCAGAATATTCATCTGCAAATATCAGGGGGTTCAGCCGATTGAGCTGTATATTGTTCAATGTTCAGTGTGTAGTGTTCAGTTTACGGTGTTCAGTGTTTAGTATTTAGTGTTCA